TTCCTTCCTTCCTTCCTTCCTTCCTTCCTTCCTTCCTTCCTTCCTTCCTTCCTTCCTTCCTTCCTTCCTTTTTTTCCATCTTCCATGCCTTTCTGCCTCTCACAACATGTCTTCCTGCTGGCCACAAGTGATTCACTTCTCCATATAGTCTAATACACCAAGTTGCAAAGGCACCTCTTCTGATTTTCGTTATGGAGAGGTGGACCTTACAATTTGGCCATCTCTTCCATTCACCTGCAGAAGACAAAGTGGCGTATGCCAAAACACCCTCTTCTTTGCACCTGAGAATGTATTTTCTAATGTCTGACCACTGCTACGGATGGTTCCCTTGAAAGCACAGATGACATTTGTGTCATTACCCTAAATAGCATCTCTCTCTGAATATTTATTCTCCAATTAGATTTTGTAGATTTCAGAGAAATTTAGCAAATTTGGATATGAAAGTAAAACAGAAAGTAATAACAGAGCACACTCCTAATACAGTTAGAGATGAGCCACTTACTGAAGATTAAAATGATGATCCAAGTGCGCTCCAAAAGGAGAGGCATTTATGCCATTAAAGATATGGAAATCCCCCTGGAGAAAGAAAACTATGAAAGAATCAGTCCACTTCTCAATGGCTTCTCAACACTGCTGCCCTCACTTCACAGGATGAGAAGATTAGACGTCACAGAGTTGGTGTCTTCTGCCAAGTGAGTAACTTCTAAGAAGATGTTCAAGATTAAAGCATTACAACCTACAGGATGTGGTTGAGGATCTAGACTCCAACATGCATTCTAGAAAGCTCTGTGGCAAGTGTGCTTTCTCAAGAGGGCCACCTTGTGTCCGCGTGTAACAGGACAACTTCAGATATTCAAAATCACTTTTGTTTGAAGGGTAAGTTCCCAAATTTGCAGAAGGGTGGCTCCCAGCTTTAGGATAAGGAAGAGCAGAGGCCAAATTCTTTGTAACTGAAATGCAATGGGTGTTCTGAGAAGACGTAAATAGAACGCAAAATGACATGGATGGGAAAGATTGGTCAGGAAACATAGAGTTTGAGCTGGCTCGTCAGAGGAATCAGTTGAGAACAGAGAGAAATTAACCTTCTTTTTAGCCTAAATATTATACCACAAGTAATCTCCCTTCTAATATGAAGATATTATGATTGCCATTCGTCCTTAAAATTCCCCTGTAATTCTCCATCATGAAAATCAATGCTTAGCATCAAGGGAGATCAACCTTAACCCCATCTGCACTCTTAAGCCAGCAGAATTTATTTCC